TTGGCCCTTCCTAGCAGTCCTCCGTCCTCAAGGAGCATCCCACCATGATATAAACCAAGTCCCTGTTGTCAGTAACAACTGTTGCAGCTGGTTGTTGACATAACGTATCCGTCCACTCCTGTTCCAGCCCTTCCTCCTCAAAGGTAGCATCGAGGAGAAGATGACCGGGGTGCCCTGCCTGCTGCCTGTTTAGTCAGGGAGGAACAAGAACTTGCAGTGTCACCGGAGGAGATCCAATGTGTCTATTACAGCATTATGGCCCAACAGCTGAGAGGCACTGCAGTTTGACATAATTGTGGTAGTCAGGCTTACATACACAGGGAAAAAATAAATCGGTAACTATGCAAACCAGGTTTCATTCACAATATGACGTGCTCCAACTACACAATCAACTCTTTCATCTCAGGGAAGGGGACAATAGCAGCTGGAGAGTATGAACATTTTTAATCACTTTGAGGGATTATCTGACCATTCCTTAAGTGCGGCAGCTCCAGCAGGCAGTCAGAACACAGCCTGAAGTAGAAAAGCAGGGAAAAAAAAAGAAGAGATTTTTTTCCCCACTAACTTCATGCAGTTCTAATAACCGTGACTTTTGCTTAGAAACAGAAGTGAAAAAAAAAAAGACCCCAGACAGCAGTGCTGCTGTTTTCTCCAAGCTATAAAGGTGAGGGTTTTTTTGTACAACACATTTGAAAACATCAAAATATTAAGTAGTTTCTTAAAAAGACTGAAAAGCAGCTTTAAATCGCAGCATACTTTCTGCTACTTTGGTTATATCTAGAAGTCTTTCAATTACAGCCGTGTGGGATGAGCTTTTCTGTTCATCCATCTATTGTAACATGTGAGCTGGGATTCCCAGAGAGCCAAGGCTGCTATGAAACAAGCCAGTCCTTTGCTCTCCCTCTATTCTTGTTCTCCCCGAGTATCCTGAGCAGTCTTGTCACCGTGCCATGCTCTGCCACACCGTACCTTCCATAGCCACAGGGCTGGCAATGCGCAGGGACAGCACTTCCATGCTGCTCCCCACCGCACGGATCCAGCACTGGTGACAAGGAGCCACGGGGACAGAAAAGTGGCAGCAGTTGATCCCTCTCCCCACCCTCTGAGGATATGAAAAAGTTGCTGGGAAAAAGGCAGGGCAAAAAAACATAAAAGCAAGAAGATCCACTCAGTTCTTGTGTGTTTGGGTGGTGACAGTTTTAAGACAAGAACAGCAGTTGTGCTAAAAATAAATTATTTTGTGAGGGTCAGACATTTAGGAGTATGATTAAAAGGGAGTTCAAGGATCCTTGGAGAAAGCAGCTAGGTAAGCTTCAGGCAAAAATATTACTGTGAAATTCAGAGGAAGGCATTAAGAATGCCATTTCAGTGACTTTTTTTTTCCTTGCTTAACACTGGAAGGAGGTATTTATTCTGTGATTTTTTATAACACATGACTCAGTGCCAGAAGTTCATTCATTTTAGATCAGTTCTGAATACTCAGATTCATTTAGAGACCCGTCCACTAAATCTACATCTATCTACATCCCCTTACACCAGCTTTTAATGCAAGAGTTTGTATTTGATCAAAGTATATCTTTCAGAAACACAGCCAATCTTGATCTAAATGTATAAAAGATAGGGAATCCAATGCTTCTCTTTGAGCCAGCATTTCACTAACACCACAGTGATGATCAATCCTATAGGGAGTCCAGCTGAATCTATGAAAGCAATAATGACTAATACGCTGCTTCACGTCTCTGTCAGACTTTCCAATAGAGTAATCTCCTATTAGTAAATAGTCTTGTGGCTCGCCCTTGTCCCAGCCTCATTGCAATTTTAATTCAAGTAAGGACTAGTACACATAACTGGTTAGGAGTCAGACTAAATGGCAAAATAACCATACTCTCACTGAAACATGCAGCGCAGGCTCATGCTACAACAGAGTAACCCAGATCGTTTGGCAGCTGAATTATTCTACAAGAAAATAAGTTCCAAACTACTTCACAGAAAATGATGCCCAAGAGGACACGGCAAATGATACCTTGTCTACAGAGGTGGTCAAACAAGGATGAATTAAGGCTGGTCCATCTGCCATATCCGGACAGAAACTTAGTGATCGCTATTTCATTGACCTGCAGAAGAGTACAGTCCCTAATGCCTGAATTGATGAGACAATTGGTAATTGTTTTCTTGTAGGGATATTACAATGCAAACTAACTCTTCTGAGCTACTTTTGAAGGTCCCAAATTTAAGTATTGTCCATAAACATTAAAAAGAGTATAAAGTGCATACAATTTTTTAACTACACTTGTCTAGGGGTAACTGAGTAAGAGAAATTAACGAATATATATTTTTTTTGTCTCATCACTAGCTTGAGGATTTCAAAATAGTCACTGATTTCACTGAGGCACACAAGGAATCTCTGGAGACCTGGGAACAGAAGCCGGATCACGTGAATTCTGAAGCATTCTCCAGCCACTAGGAAATGCTGCTTAATTAATTTAGTTAATATTTACACACTGCATAGAAAAACAGAAATATTTAAATGACTCCTAATCTAATGATACTGTGCTAATGACCTAAGCAAAGGACTTGTGATATTACTGAAGATTTGTGAGTTAATTAGAAAGGTATCCAATAAGCCTGCAGATCACTTCATAGGAGACACATTCTCACCATGATGTTAACCAAGCTCAATTCATTAAAAATGAGGTCCTAACTGACTTGTGATACACCTAAGCAAAAACCAGTAATTAATGGCACAGATATCAAATGCTTGAGAAGAACATGACTGGTTGATATAAGCTGTATAGCTTGGTGTGAAGCAATCTCAGCCAGAGGAACATTTTTAGAGCAGCACTTAGTGTCCTCAACACACAGCCCATCAATAGCTTCATTATTTTGTTAGAAAAGTTACATGACCCAATTAATCTTCACAGGTGGGTGGTATTTCAGAAAGAAATGGGGTGTACTGCAGCTTACATGTGAAATCGCTCCTTTCACAAGGGATTTCAGTTACTCATAAAATCTTCAGGTTGAGAAGCTTTAAGCATTTCAAGCAGCAGGAGACTCAGGACTGTGATTTAAGTAATGCATCTCTTAAATCTTGATCTGAGGCTTTTTCCACAGATGTAACAACCTTGAGGATTAGCAAATACCTCTATCAGCCCCACCTTTAATTTTAGATGACCCTTGGAGGCGTAACAGTCTCAGTAATGTGACAGTTAATACCAGTGCAGGATCGGGGCTCTATCAGTTCTTCTGGTCACCAGTAATTGCAGGTGGTAGACATGGGATCATCCAGGCTGGAAGGGGTCTCCAACCTCCTGCCCAAAGCAGGGTCAGTGAGGTCAGATCAGGTTGCTTTGGTCTGTTACCCAGTCGGGCCCTGAAAACTTTCAACAGCAACTGCACAAGTTTCCTGGGAAACCTCTTCTACTTCTTAACAATTCTCAAGGCAAAAAAGGGTCTGGACCTCTTTTGTTTCAAATAATGCCTGCTGTCTCTTCCGCCACACATGGCTGTGGAGAGTCTAGCACCACCTTCTTGATAACCTCCTTGTAGGCGGTGGAGGGATGCTGTTCAGGTCACCTGAAGCTTTCTCTTCTCCGGGCTCTTTTGAGCCCCCTTCCTTCAGCTTCTCCTTACAGGGCAAGCACCCCACCTTGGTAGCACTCCATTGAACCCACTCAAGTTAATCAGTGTCTTTCTTCAACTGGGCTGCCCAAAACTGGACACTGTGCTAGATACAGCCTAACAGGTACTGAGTTTAGGGGATAATCGCTTCCCTTGATCCACTGGCTGGGCTCCAGGGATTAATGAAGTCCAAGGCATTGGAGGTCCTCTTTCCTGCACACTGATGGCTCATGTTTACCTTGCTGTCTTCCAGGACGCCCAGGCCTAATTCAGCAGAGCTGACCCCCAGGCAATCAGTGTCCAGCTGGTGTCACTGCAAGGGGTTATTCCTCCCCACGAGCAAGAATTCACATTTTTCCTTCTATGAGGTTCCCACTGGCTCATTCCCCCAGCCTACCTAGGTCCCTTTGACTAGCAGATCCAGTTTATCAACCAGGTCCACACCCCTGGTGTCACTCAAAAACTTCACGGAGGACACTCTGTCATCTCTTCTAGGTCATTGACAGAGATGTTAAACAGGGCAGGTCCTTGTGAACTGTGAAACTCCACTTGTTACCAACCTCCATTAACCACTATCCTCTGAGACCAAATTTCTAACCTCTTAAGTTTTTCCCAGCCATCCAGTTATACATCCAGATCGTAATGTCCTAGACAGCACACCACTTTTGGGATATGAATACTGATACAAATATCAAATTCATAAGGTTCAGCAATAAAATGTATGCAAAATTGTTAAGCTCCCTGCACACTAGAAAATTTGCACAGCACAGAATACAAGTTCAACTTTAGAGACATACTTCTGAAAATCTGCACCATGCTTTTATTATTAATAATTGTGAGTTATTAGTAAATGTTTGCTATTTTATATCCCAACTACCTGCATTTAATTAAATGATGGCATTAGATGAGAAGAAAGTAAGAAAAGGCTTATATTAAGCTTGATGATGGTAACATATTAATGATAAACTGTGAAATTCAATAAAATGTGATACATTCTGAAACTGTTAACAAATGGGAATAATTTTAACCTTTAACTTCAATATGTGAAATTAAAAATGCAACATAAGGACTTAGCCACACAAAACCATTTTCAAAGAATTTGCCATCTCCTGACCAATAAGCCTCTCATCTCTGCTCCCACACAAACCAGATTCTGAGGATAGTACATGTTCTACTGCATTTTTACATGACATTTTCAACAAAAACAGACACATTTATTGGACAGCTGGAGAAAAATTAAATTGCAGGTGGGAAAATTGTCCACTGAGCATTGTGAACCAAGACGTTTTCAAAAAGATGTCATATTTAAACTCAGTCAAAAAATTTTATCTAGTTAAAAAAAAGAAAAGGACACGTATGCGCTTGAAGTAGAGAAGACTTACCGTAACATGTTGCCTGTTATCTTTCCCCAATACGATCAAGAAGTAGTTCCATGCCAGCAGCAACAACAAAGCCAGTGGTATCATGTAGAGCTCAAAGTTCCAGACCACAAAAAGAAAAAGCTAGAAGACAGAGCAGGAAAAAAAGTGATTCAAATCAGCACTACATTAAACTCTCGTGCACAGTTAAGACCAACAAATTAAAACAATCCTAAAGAAATCTACCTCTACTTCGGCAGGCGAGTTGTTGAACCACTTTGCTGACTAGCCACTTACCTGCATGAAACAATTGCTACACTCTCCACTCCTTCGCACCTTAATTCTTGCAAAAGGAAAACAGTGTAGCCTAAGAGAAATGTTAATCGCTCTCTTGTAAAATAATGCATATATGGACACAATAATGCAAAGCAGGTGAAAATTAAAATCCCAATATAAGAAAGAAATGGTCTGTTATTTCCATGGATAGAAATTAATTTGCTGTTTTGGAGGAGGAACTTGGTCAGTTCGTAGTAATGTCACGCAAACAGTCAGAAGAAGTAAACATCACAAATGAATCTGAAAAAATCTTTTGCATAGAAATGTAGCAAAAAAATCACACTAAAAGGCTAAAATGTACAACTATTTTCATGAAAGCATGGTAAAAAATTATGACCTCAGACTCATAAAAATGGGATTAAAAGGAATGCTGAGAAGCCATCTCAGTCCACCACTTTGAAAACTTGGATTTGTTAAAGCATTTCCTCGAAACACCTTGAGTGGTTCATGGCTGGAAGCTGGCTGAAGCCTGGCCAGGTTGCATCTCCCAGAGATGTCACTGCAATAACTAAGGCTGGTCTCCAGCGCTGGGACATTGCACCCCAGGAAAAACCCATCTGCACCGCCAACTCGGTACACCACAGCTCTCTGCCGTGCACCTCTGACAAGCTTCAGAGGCTGGACTTGAGCCTCAGACCCATCAAACAGCACAGAGCTCACACTTCGGAAGCCTGGATATCCTCACCATTTGTCAGAGCCTGTAACTGTCTGGCAGAGACACATCCAGCTAGATACTGTTCCTTGTTACTGGACTGCAGGAAAGGACTAAAAATATTTGGACCTAGACAGGGTCAAACTAAAACAATTTTTACATTCTGTTTTCCCTATCAAAAAAACCAAACCACCTTTATTTTAGTCAGCTCTAGCCATAACTTGGGTTTGTTTTCTTTTGATTCGAGAAAAAACCAAAAATGAAAGTAGTATAGCAAACTGCATGTACCGCAGCTGGAGATACATCCAGAAACCTTAATAAACTTCTTTCATCTAAATATTAGATGAAAACCTTATTAAACTTTATTAAACCTTAGCAGTATTTGTTCTTTTACTGACTACTAAAATAAATTTAGGTGGTGTGCCACAGAACGAGCAAACCTAAAGCAATGCCAATACCCAGGTAAACTAAAAACGGGCTTGTTTTCCCAAATCAGTCACCAAGATGTATATAAAACTACGTAAGAGAATGGGGATTTCAATAGTCTTCTGCTAGATTTTTCTTAAGCGTTAAACCAAATTGCTCTTATCACACACAAGCTCCCACCTAAAAGGAAAGAATAAAAATATGTATTTAAATCTGTATTTTGAGTAATCTTCTGTCTTGAGATCAGCTGACTTACCTCACCTCCCCCCCACTTTCTATCACTGAATGCTATGCATATGGAAGTCCTGTGAGACTGCAAGACAAACATGATAATACTGAAAGAACTGAAAAAGCAGGGTCTGTGACATACAAAAGAGGATATTGGCACTTCTAACAGTTAATATTTCATATGAAAGAAAAATGACTTTTCCAGGTTGTTTAGCTTAAAAGGAAATCTGTTAGAAATGGTAATGAATACGAAGAAGAATAAGAGTCAAATAAGAAGCTCATGGAATATGAGAGTTCCGCTATGAGCTTGCTAACTACCTTTCTGAGAGCAAGAGATCTAGGGGGATTTGATGTGGTAAATTTGATATGGCCAACTTAGAACAGAATTCATATCTCAAAAGAAAAGCAAAAAAATCCTCGCACCCTTTAACCCCAGAATGCCCTGAGTGTGCGGATAAATGCTGAAAGGGAGCTCTGGAAGTCAGCAAACAGCACCCAAGTATCTGAAAAGCAAATACTAGTGATTACCTGTTGAGAAATGGCAACCCATTCAGTCTTTCTTATGGTCTCATCTTAACTTCAGTTAGAAAGATGGAAGGAAAAGCAAGTAATATCCAAAGAATCTGCTGCTCCAGAGAAAGGAAGCCAGGAACATAGTCTCAGGAGATACAGACTTGAGTGGAGACTGAGACACACGGTCGTCATCAAAGTTCTTCCTGGAGAGGGTGGTGAGGCACTGGCACAGGTTGCCCAGAGAAGCTGTGGATGCCCCATCCCTGGAAGTGTTCAAGGCCAGGCTGCATGAGGCTTTGAGCAACCTGGTCTAGTGGAAGGTGTCCCTGCCCATGGCAGGGGGGTTGGAACTAGATGGTCTTTAAGGTCCCTTCCAACCCAAACCATCCCGTGATTGTATGATCAAGGACCCTGTACTCCAGAAAATCAATGAGTTCTCATTGAAACACTCATCACTTAAGATTCCTAAGTGCCAAATGATCCTTAAGAATATTAATTCCTTGCAGTCCTTCCGTGCAGGCCAGTGAAATATTGTACTAAAATATTATTTCTTTATGATGTGTATGGACATACCTTTCAAAAATGTGGATATTACACCCACTATCTCCTGTAGATGATTTCCCTGACCCGCCAGCTTCATTTCCATGTAGTGTGGCTGAATTTTAACCAGTTCCTCCTTTCAGGCACCTGTCTCAGCCAGGCACTAGGAAAAGAGGCACTCTATATTTGCAACACAGATGAGATGTATGCTGTGCAAGATCAGCACAGCGATGGCACTGCAAGTGAAATGGCCTCACTATCTTCCCCAGAAGAGAAATGCACTCACAAAACGCACCTATGAGAAAACCAGCAGATTCCCAGGGTGAAACAAAACCTTAAAGTAAACATAAGCAACCCCAAAATCCGGTACAGAACTGCAAGAAAATCCAGGGGCTCAGTTCTTCGGCATAAAGGGCCTGGTAGTTAGAAGAGAGGGAAGAATGGAAGTGGTATGTGGAAACCTTCATTTCATGCACGAAGGGGAGGTAAACCTGCATATCCACCCATTAAACTAGTACAGGAGGAAAATAAAAATCCAGAAAAGCTAAGGAACAAGTATAACAGGGCAGTTCTGGGACTTGCCCATGTCTATAAAGCATTCAGTGGTATATGGACTGTATCTGGTATGGTCTCTTCCAAAGAAATAACGGCTCTGCTCTGTCTAAAAAAAAAAGGATCCTCATCACTACTGAACAAGCCAACTATTTTAAGGGAGGAGTGGGAGTCTCAAAGGTTACAGTTTAATATAGCTGCCATTTCCCACACAGAAGACTATAAGGGAGGACTTTTTTCTTCTCCCCCATGAGATCAAGTTTTTCAGAGTCACAGGCATGAACTGGCCATTTACAACATCACATCAGTTGATACTCCTAGTGAGAGACACAGACATTAAATGATCATTCAGGGAGACACACGACACTATCCCTGGTGTACAACGCTTCAAAAAATAATTTAAGTTAGAATATTGAATATCCTATTCTTTTGCAAACTACAGTATATTTTAAAAAGAAATCTCATCCAAAATGATTAACACTTCCTACTGTTCAGAAAAAAAGCCTGCCCTTTCAGACTAGCAGCTGTGGATCATTAGCTTTCCAGTGATGAGATGTGTTTGATGAGTATTTTTCTTTCTAATTAAGAGATGAGATTCTCTATTTGACTCTCTCTTCAGACAGAAGTGAAGAGAAAGATTTCTGCCTATGTGTAAAGGCCATATTCTACAGAACAATTATTTCAGATTTCTTTTTTATCTACCTCCACCCAATTTCATTTCATTTTTAACAGAACACTGTTTGCACCCACAGACTTCAGAGCATTAACCCCTGCATTCCCCAGCTCTTTGTATCTTCCCTTTTGCTTTTGTTTTGAATTCCAGCAGAGAAGCAACACATAGAAGAAGCAGCACCCCACCCAGGAGACACTGACCCACATCCTCAGGCGTGGAGAGAGTAGAGTGCATGACAAGGGAGAGCCGTGTGTGCCACCGCTCAAGAACTTCCTGAGAAATACAAGAAACTGCTCACTTCTTGAGAAAAACGAGAAACCACTCACTCCACGGGAATGCCAGCGCACAGTGAAAGTCACAGGACCAAGTGCAAGCTGACGCGGAGGAAGCTTTCCCGAACCTGCAGCCTGGCAGCATCACAGATACGAGGAGTACCTCCCCAAAATCAAACGGGGCTCAACAGCAAGCGGCCTTTAGCTTCCCCGGTGTCTCCTGGCGCTGTTGGGGCTGGGGCAGCCTCCGCGGGTGAGCCACCCAGTCAGCCTCTGGCTGTCACAGGAGCCTCTGAGATCTGCGTTCGCAGCACCCAGAGTCACGAGCTACCTCGTGAGGGGCAGTACGGTGTGATACGGGTGTTCCCACCGCTGCCCGGTCACACAGAGCACGCCACCTGTACCGCAGCCTCCTCTTCAAGTGGCGGCTTTCTCCCATCATTTTCCGAGAAGGTCCTCACAGCCTCACTCACGCAGCACCCACATCCTTGCTTTATAGCCCCCACTCCTGACTACCCTGGAAACACGAAAGTTGGCTGCACAGCGTCTTGGCACCAACAGAGCCGATGCCTGTAGCTCCAAACACTGCACTCTAATCACAAGATCATCCATTTACCCTTTAAGCTTAAAAGGACAATTGTATTTCCTGAGGCTTTGTCCCTTGGATGTATTCTCAGAAGACTAGAAAGATAACGCACATATCTGCACGGTACAGACTGTCTACAGAGTACAGCAGGTTTTAGGGCTCCAGTACAATCTCGCATGGTGTTTATACTGCAAAAGACTTCAAAATACTTTTTGTTGTAACTTGGAGAGCTGGTAGCTCCTTCCATTACAAAATTAGCCAGTTACCGCTGGCGATCACAGCTCCTCTCACCTTGTATGACCCTTACATAAAATAAATTAAGAAGGAAGTATTTCTTTTAGGTGTACCAGATCTCAGACACAACTG